CGGTATATGACGGACAATAGATAATGACGACACAGCGCCGACGCCTGGAGCCCGTCTCGTGAGTCATAAATGAACCGAAACAGCGTATAAGGTAAGCCTACTTGCCTCACACACCAGAGAAATATATCTATAGAAAGCTCGAAATGTCTACTTTTAAACAGAACAACTCAAAAAGAAAGAAAACAGACTACAGTATATTCTCTGCTTATGTAATCCGTATGAAATGTGCATTTCTCTCTGGCGCATTCACTACTGAAGCGATCGCAAGTCAGGTCAAGAAAGACGGTCTTTTGTTTTATGTTTTAGAAAAACAAGTATTATGTTAAGTGAAGTAAAGAGAGACGGTCATTATTTTTATTTTTTTTTATAAAAAAAGATCATCGGTGTTCTGGGATGTGACATTTCTGCTTTTCTTTTGTTTAAACCTATACATTTATCCATTTGTCCTGTTCTGTCAATCTGCGTGAAATATAAAATTGAGCTCATTACAGAGGGCGGAGCGAGCGGGACGATTCCTCCTGGCAACAGTCCAATTAGCGGTAAATAAACATTTCAACTTTAAATGTATGAAATAATAGGAATTTTTTCGCTTATTCATTTTCGTTTGGACATGCATATGTTGGTGTTTTGATATTATTTTAAAATATGCTGTAAAAGGTAATTATAGCCTATGGTACGACAGTTATTTTAGGCTGTTTATGGAAAATAAAGCCAGTTGTCACGGCGGCACCCACTTTGGGAACCACTGGTATTGAGCAATACCTTTGAGCACAGTTCACTACACTAACTCAAGTAAAAGATGTCTGAGCTGGGCGAGTGAGTGGAGGCAGGGCTAATTTACATATTTGTGGATCCACGTACACTAAATAAAACAAGGGTGTAGAGTTACATTCAAGCCTGCAAGAATTTTTTTCCACAGGAAAAAAACATTGAAATGTCATTTTGGTGATCAAAGATGAGTTTTAGGGGATAGAATTAATGACTACGGGGATTTTTATACCAATGATTAATCCATGAATCTACAAGAGCAAACCAGTGGACACCAGGAAGAGCTTCAGATCTGCAGGAGTAATGTTGACCCGTCTGACGGTGTAAGAGCATCAAGGGTTTACACCTGACCGAGAGTCTTTATGACCTTGGGTTAGTGGATCATAAAAGACATGCTGGACTCATCCCACCTCTCACACACACACTGTACTGTATTCAGAATAAGGCCTAAACTGAAGGAGACAAACGATCCAGGTTACCATTCTTGACAATAGAGGGGACAACAGGCTCTTTAAGAGGGGGCAAAGGTCAACAAAGCATGTGAGGTCGAAGCACTACGCCATATTGTTGACTTACCTGCTGAAATATGTAAGGGAGGAAGAGTGATACCGAATCAAGTTTATACAAAACTGAACACAGAGTAATTGGTGTTGGACTTTTCGAGCGAAGCTTTAGGGTGTGAGTCAAAAACACGAGAGGCGATTAATAAGAACTGCTAGGCGTGGAGCAAAAACACAACCTCAGTCACACCCAGGCCGACTGCACCCTTCTCCTAAAAATAACTGTGCTCTTGGGCCGTGACGGTCCCTAACTGTCTCAACCCCTAAAAACAGATGCACTTTACATCACCCCCTGGCTGGCACGCTTGATTCGGCTGCCAATGGATGCCTCAACCTGAAACGATGTCACCCTGACGAACCCACGGCTGAGACGGACAGAGGGTTGGATGAGTGTTAAACACTTTGACCAAAGTTTGTCCGCAGATGTTAATGATTATCAGCTGTCTGGCACGCCCAGAGCACTCTCTGCTCCTCCAATGATAACGCCCCAGTCCCTCGCCTCCCTGACTCCACACCAACACTACATATTACAGGCAAAAAGTGCTGTACACTCACATTAATTATGTATTTTACACGTATGGGTTGCTGTACAGAGTAGATTCAAATGTGCAATACCTTAGCAATGCGTCTTTGTAGAGATGGATCAATATATCGGCAACACATTTAGGCATATCGAGATGATCAATAAGCTGGATGGTTTTTGTTTTAATGAACGAGACTCTATTTGATTCTGACTTGCCAATCATTGCATTCTGCAGTCAAATGTATTTGAATAATGATATATTACTATATAACTGACCATTAATTTGGGAAACCACTATTATTATTAATTACCTTAAGAATGCATCTTTGTGATGGATGAATATATTGGCCAGGCCAATATTACTGCAAGATATTTGGACACTTTTAGATGCATTAAATATGTATATAAAGCATCTACAAGTCATTTCAAAGCTCTCTAAAATACTTGATTGTGATTGACCAATCACTGCATTTTGCTGTGAAATAGTTTTAAAAGTTCATTTGGTAAATAATTTTCCGAAATAACCGTGTGCTGAACATCCTGTTAGGTTGTTATTTTGTGATAGAGACAGACAGGCATTATTGCAGCTCTAGATATCAATATTACTCCCAGAACATACTTTTGTGCAACAATAACAAATAAACAGACAGTTACAACAAATGCACACAACATGTGACATGGGATGTTCATGACAGCTTCCAGTAGCCTACAGACAGTCCTAGTTGAATACAAGCTGCAGTCTCTTATTAAGCAACGCATTGCCGGCAACACATTCATATTTATCCCTTTAATAACTGAGATCGGATAACAAAAGACGATACGGCAGCAAAAACAATTTCTCCATCGCATGAATATGCAGGGCTGCTGTCCCTTTAAGAAATCAGCTAAGATGGTGTCTCTCCACAAGCGGACTCGGCGCGCTTCCTTCCTGCGCTCACACACACACACTCTCACACACACACACACACTGCAGATAAGGCGACCCTGACGGATGTGACACACTGACTTTCTCACAAGTTGCACAAGTATTTCAATCGCACCAGCATTATCGTTAGGAGGCTTTCGGATAAGGGGCTGGCTCAGAGGCGCATGCACAGCTCCGCTATTAACGGCTCGTTACGGTTAACGGCAAACCGAAACCGGGCAACTACTCGTAGATGAGGAACTCCTGCAGAATGGAAATAGGACAGCGAGTGCCGTCCAAAGCTACCGGCTACGTTGCAAATGAGCCTAAAGCGAACGATAAACGGACTTACTTTTTTGTTCCGAGTCTCCGTGTGCATCTCGGTATCTAAGCGGCGGCGGCGGAGGGGTGGAGCGGAGGGGGGGTCGGTCGGCTCGGGCGGGAGGGGTGATTTCTGAATTACAGTCGATGTCAGTTCAGTATTAGAGGAGAAGGGTGCTCTCTTTGCCTCGGCGGATCACAGAAATCATATCCCCGGCGTCGAGAAATAAACCCTGTTTCCGTCGCCCGCTCGTCTCTCAGTGTGTGTTTGTTGCCGTGTTTCAGGGTTGGGCTCGAGCTGTGAGTCTCTCCTCCGCCTCTCCCTGCTGATGACCCCACCCTGCGTCCCCACCCCTTCGCTGTGTCAATCACAGCCTGCGTGTGTGTGTGTGTGTGTGTGCAGCCCGAACCAGCAGCGGCGCGTTGATAATAGGACTTCATCATCATCATCATCATCATCACCTAACCCGTGTCACCTCACCTAATGACGTCAAGTTGCACCGGATGTTCGGAGCCACTTGTGGTGTTTTTGCTAAAGATGAGGCCTCATATGTGCATTCAGTGCTGTGTGGAGACAAAATTGCCCCTAGAGTAGGAAAAATCTGACATTTAATCTTTCTTTTTAATTTAAGGACATTTTTGTCCTGAATTAAAATGATTCCGTGTTTTTTATTTTCGTTCTAAAATGCAGAATAGTGTTTGGATTGGGACTTTAAATATGTATTTAAAATAATCAAAGTGTATATAGAGCGGTGTAGGTATGATGACAGCACAGGCTAATTGGCAGTCACCATCACACCGGTTTCCTCAACAATAGGATTCCCAGTGGGATTTTTCCATAGGCTTTTAAATGATTGCCAAAAAAAAAGCGTGACCAACAAAAGTTTATGATATCATACTTGCACGTTTTGTCTATCATGATCATTCACAGATGAACATAAGTTGTGGATTTGGAAGATGCAGTCACCTGAAGTAAAAAGCTAAAACTACACCAACCTTACACTTCCAACAACTCAAAAAACATTTGTATTAAACGTTTGAGTAAGAACAATTTGTGAGAGCAGTTATAAGCATAAGCGGACTGAGTTTAGCTACCTTTTCTGCGATGGCGTTTCATCTCCTCGACAGCCTCTCGAGTCACATCGTTAGCAATGACGAGTCTTTTAACAATATAGACGGTTCACAGCAGCTTTACAGCGATAAGAGGAAATTAAACTCACAGAGATTGTTTTGGCTTTACTGTAGATCTATAAAGTTATGGTCCAGATACCGTTGCAAAGTTATTAACTTAAAAATGTTAACTCACACTACACCATTTCAAGACGCATATCAGTAAAAAATAAATAAAAAAATAAAAAAAAAACACATCACAAGTGGGGTGATACTGATGTATTTTTAATTTCTTAGAATAAAACATGAAAGTATCTTGAGCTTGTGTTCTCCACAGACCATAAATCCATTTAAAAACCCCTTTGACTTCTGGACTGGAACTGGAAATGCTAAAATGCTACTTAGCTTCTGTGTTCTGGCCTACAAATATACGTCACATCACGACTCTGTGTCAGGATTCATCTAACGGGTGAAGAGGCCCACTACGGGTCTTTAAAAACGATAGTACCATCACCGAACTCGGCACAGTTTTCATTTCATTCTGCATCTGCTTAATTTAAAACCAAAATATATTTCAGATAAGATCTCTTTCTTTTGGCTTTAAAAGAAAATGTTTATTTACTGATTTATTTTTAGGAAATGTCCTTTTTTATTCTCACAGAATGTTTCGGCAGAGGATTGAAGAGTCTAGTTTATTGGTTCTCAACTACGTTTCCCATAATCCTTTCAACCTACACTTCCTGTGATAAACATGAAGCGATAAAGGACAAATCTGAAAGTGACAGTTCAAAAAGTTTTTAAATAAATGACTCACATGTTGCAGGCAATGGGATGATCTTGTTGGCTGAGAGTAAACGGCACCAGGAATTCTTTCGACAATCAAAGCTGGATCTTTATTTCTGTACAATTTAAAAATAATATGAATATAAACAAGCTAGCAGTCTGTCTGTCCCCTCTGAATGATTTATCTAAACACAACACATTAGCCTATATGGCTCTGACTGCAGTGATGCATACAAGTTAAATGTTAATGTCATATAAGTAGGCCTACTTAAGCTGCGTTTAAAACCATTTCAACTGGAACAATGGCAATAATGCAATTTTGTTTCCTATCAAATGCAAATGCAGATCATGTAAATGATGCACTACAGGCTTACAGTGCTTAGTGAACATACATGCTAAAGTTGACAAAAAAGAGGAATAAAAGGAATTTGATCTTAATGAATCATTTAAAAAAATGAGGAAAAATCCAACCTTTAAGGACACCAATTTTCTTTGGGAATGAATAATGTGTCATAAATAAATAAATGTTGGAGTTTTCCTATTTTTTTATTAAAATTTCCAAAAGATGATTTTTTTAATTGATCTTTTTAGTCAACTTTAGCATGGGTGTGTTCACTTATGCTAAGCAAGGTAGCTATATCATATAACACAGTTATGCTCTGCTAGAATCACTGACTTATGTCATTTAAAATATATATTTTATATATTTTTACTGGTGCTTTTTATGTCTTTTTTTATATTCCTATTCGCTTTCTTTTGAGGTAAAAGACAGACTCATTCTGCCCCAATTTAAGAAATCTAAACAACAAAAAGCTTGTTTGCATAAACTAAAAAAAAAATAGTAACATTAAAATTATATATAAAATTAAATTATACTCTATATAGTAATATAGCCTATATGGGCATGCATTTAAAAGTAATGTTCAACTGGGTAGCCTACTTAGAAAGTCTACTCTGGTTTTAAAGCAGCATAAAATATTTTAAATAAAGAAGAAAATATAGCAACAAATGTAATAGAAAAAACAACAAGGGCAAAAAAAACCCTTAAGGGTCATTACTAAAACATAGCATCTCAAAAACCTGTCAGTTGTGGGGTTTTTTTCTTCGTTTGAATACCATATGATTAAAAAATGTTGTTTATTATTGATTAAGGGCTTCTACATAACCGTAAGTCAGTTAGGCAATCGAACTTTGACCTTTCCCGTTGGTTAACCACATTCCCCATAATCCTCTTCACGCACTCTCACTTCCTAGTGAAACAGGAACTTCTTAGCGATAAGGAGCAAAGCACTTGTTTATCGTGAGTGTATGTACGGGTTTTGTGTGCTGATGACACCTGTTATTTCCGGTTATCTCCAGCCAACTTCTTCACATGCAGAAAAGAGTGAGTCATATCTCACTTCCGGCTGGCGGGTTTGGTGTCGGGTCAAATACAGTCGACACTCTCTCACTCTCCCTTCCTTCAGCAAGAGTTTACTAGCCCACATTAAACTGAGACAGGTTCACAAAAGAGTCCGGACTGAAATGCGCTGAACAGATCGTTAATGTCGGACTGTAACGATCGGGAATATCGTTAAAGAGGAACTTCAGCAGTTGGCGTCCTTCGGGAGGCTGTGCAGAGACGCGGGCACGAGCCTGCAGCCCGGGATAACGCGGGCACGAGCCTGCAGCCCGGGATAACACAGCGTTTGACGGATTTAAGTTACCCCACATATACAGACACACAGATAACACCGGGGTATCCTTCTTTTCTTTTAGAAACAATATTTATCTCCTTGTGGTCTCACCATGGGCGAATGTGGGCGATCATATGTTGTTAATGTGCTCATGGCTGTGACGTCATTAGCCTAACGCTACCACGACGGAGTGAGTGAGTGAGTGAGAGAGAGAGAGAGAGAGAGAGACAGTCTTACCTTTTGTTATTAAATTAAACCAATCTACGGTTTTATGTTACTGTTTTTATGTTGTGTTAAAAAAGGTTATGAATAGCCTTAAAAAATTAAATATGACTTACTCGTAGCTCCCTGTTTTTGCAGCTAAAGCAATGTTATCTATTCAAAAGGACGTTTAGCAAGCCATATCCCATTGGTCTAGGTTTATAATTAATTGGATAAATGTTTGTTTTTCCCCTTCTAAGCACTTTCTATCCAGGTTTAACCAAGACAAAGATGTGTTAGCCTAATTTTGTTCATTGCAGCCAGAAACTCACATTTTTTTGTCATTGTCAGTATATAAAAAATAAAAGGTTGTGATGACAGGTTTCAAATTTTTTAAATGGCAAACTGTTATGTATAAACATGTGATATTTGGTTTCTTAAATTATTAATAAAAAGTTTGGGAAACGAGGCATGCATCAACAATCTTGTGATTATAAATGTTTAGTTTCATATTCATCACAAAATATCAACCAGAAACCTGTGGTGTCTAGATATAAAACGTATTTTGTTGCCAGTTCAAAAAAATATATTTTGTTGCCATCTTAATAAAATGGTTTATGAATGTTGGCTTTGATATGTTCAATATATGTCCACATTTAATTGGAGTCGATCCCACATCAGTGTTCTGCATCCCAGTCGGTCTCGACACAGATGTGCGTATTCGCAGAGCGAGAATGAGATTTGCTCGACTGGTCCTTTGATTTAAACTACATTTCCCATGATCCTTTCAACCGACGTCTTCTTCCTGTTGAAACAGGAAGTGTGGTTCTGGTGTAAACATGAAGCGGTAAGCGAAAGGGTATTTTTATGTTTTCAAGTTTAACTTGTGTCTCAAACTACGTGAACCTTTGCCGCATTATGATAAATATATGAGGACTTATTCCTACAGAGATCCATAATAAATATGAGCAGAGAACTATTACTGATACAGCAAGCCACAGTACTAGCTGATCGCTATACATTTGTGGAGGGTTAATAATGAGAAAACGCGTATATATATATATATATATCGAGCATATTAAATCATAAATAAAAAGGGATTTGACATGGTTAAGTAAAATAAAAAAATAATGCTACTGTAGAATATATTTATATATAATTAAATTCTACCTGTGTATTATGATAGTGTTATAATGTAATATCTTAATTTTATGATGGTTAAAAACAACCAGTTGACAGCCCAGTTGTGTGATTTTCAGGGTTACCCGTCTCGCCTGTGATGACGTGCCCGTCCCTGAGGAACAGGAGACCGAGGGCCAGAGACAGCTCCACAATCTGCTGATCCGGCAACTGGACACAGAGGCAAACATAGAGCGGTCGGTTTCTCGTAATCAGGAACTGGCTTGATTGTTGGTGTCTGATTATTTAGTTGAGCATTGCCGGAATGACATGTTTTTTGTCGGCCAACCTGTAAATAAGCATCACAATAACATTTTTCCATTGGCTTTATGGATTGTCGCAGACCATAAGCTCCACCTGATGTTTAAAGTCTTACATGATTTGTTTATCATGATAATTTTCACCAATTAACTCAACTTTTATGAGTTTTAAAATACAATCGCCAGAAGGAAAAAAGCTAAACACAGGCTATAAATGAATCACACCACAGTCAAATGACATAAGTGTCACCGCCATTAAGCATAACTTCAACCAAACCCCCACTGACATCAGGACGTTGGAACCGGGAGCGGCGAGATGTGAACTCGTTTCTGGGGTTTAGCCTAAAGAAAGGCTTCCTCCCTCCACCATTTGTAAATGTTTTTTTTATTAAGAAATCATGTATTTTATATTCAATTAAATCTATACATTTACAATTTTGTAAAATATTATTTCAATTGTTATTGTACATGTATTAATAATATATCTAATATTATTTGTTAAAGTGTATTTACATAATATGAAATGTTCCCTTTGTTGTAGGTGTGTGGCTAAGAGGAAGTGCTTCGCTCCGGCGGCGGTGTACAAGCCCTTCGGGGAGCAGGCGGCCGGCGTGCGGAGTCTGTCCCAGTTCCAGGCGCTGCAGGACGGGGATCAGGAGCTGGCCGCTCTCAGAGAGTTGGGCCTGACGGACGCTGAGATACAGCTGTGGAGGAGCAGGGACCGGCCCGAGAGCTCTGGGAAGGGGAAGGTGTGTTCGCGGTTTAACGTCACCTGATGATTCCCAACTGTAAGGAAAGTGAAGGTTCACTGTGTTCCAGGGCCGAGGGGTGTGTGTGGCACCAGAGGCGAGGGACATGCGCCTGCAGGCCATCCGGGATAAGCTTGTGGCGCATGCGGAGCTGCTGGCCCGACCCCAGCGCTTCTCCAGCAGCCGGCCGCTGTCCCGCCGCGAGATGGAGATCGAGAAGGCTCTCTTCCACGGCAGTGACCGCTCCAGCTTCCTCACGGCGCTCTACCATCGAGGTCAGACAGCACAGCAGGACAGGTAGCGCCTGGAGGAGCTTGTTTTAATCTTTGCCGTCTCTTCTCCTCACAGAAGAAGAGCCACCGGTCCGCCAGCAGGGGGCGACATCTGCCGTCACACTGGACCATTTCTGTAAAGACTTTCTTGAAGGCCAGAACAAACATGTCGCCAGTACTTCAGAGTGCTTTCCTCAACCACAAACTGCCTCTAATATCCTATGCAAATCATCAATCTCTAAAACCGACCAATCAGCTCGCGCAGACTGTGATTCCCGCCCATCCAAAGAGCGGCACGTATCCCAGGATCCAGGCCCTGTTTCGGACACTGTCCAGTCTCGCGATAAAAGAGTTGAAACTATAACCGTCAGTCAGTCCATCGGCTCCCTGAGCGCCGCGGTCGGCCAAGAGCATGATGGGCCGGTCACCGTCAGCGGAAGGATAGAGGACATCTCAGAAGAAGAGATCGAGAACAATCGTGAGACGGAAGAGGATATACGGAGGATCCCCCGATTCAAGAACTACCAGAGAGGAGATCCGTCCAGCGTGAGTGTGGAGAATAGACACCATCAATTAGGAACAAGTCTTTATAATATATCATAATATCATTTAAAAGTTGGGCTGTCTTACACTGTATATTACCCAAAACGATAAGTGGATCACTGTGTGATTACAACCCCTCACACACACACACACAATAAAACAAGCATTCTGGGTCAAATATGGACAAACTCAAACGTTGGGTTAAAAATGTAACCCAATGGCTGAGTTTGACCCAAAGTTGGGTTAAAATAACCCAGCCATGTTTAGAGTGTAACAATGTAAAAAGTCTCCAGTGTCGCATTGATCAATATACCGCGTCCCTGCTGATTAAGAGCATTCATTTCTTCAAAATATGTTATAACCCAAGCTTACTGACCCCAGACTTCAGAAAGATGATTCCATACATCAGAGTACATGTGTGTGTGTGTGTGTGTGTGTGTGTGTGTGTGTAGGTCCTGTGTGTGAAGAACATGAGTCCGCGGGCCACCGTAGCTCAGCTGGTCTCCCTGTTTTCCCGGTTTGAGAAGGACGACGAGCGGCCCATCCGGTACCGGCTGCTCACGGGCCGACTCAAGGGTCAGGCCTTCATCACGCTCTCCGGTAAGAGACGCACAACCACACAGGCTAAAGCTGCGGCGTGTAATCTAGACGAGAAGTCGACCGGTTTATCAGTGTGCCGAGGAATAGGTCATCTGCTGAAATCCACACGACACGCGTCTGCGGACGTTATACAGGAAACCAAATCCCACGTTACAGATGGAGTTTGTTTGACACATGATGCACAGACGGGGACATTCCCAATGCGGACTTAAAACAGACACACACACACACACACATATACAGTGTGTTTCCATATTATCGTAAATTGATAGATTTGTTGGCTAGATGCAGCATTAGAGGAGGAAGTAGCGGTGTGTTTGCCGCCGAGGCTGAGACGATGCTAAACATTAGCAGTAGCTCGCGCGTCTGACCCTGATGTTTAATGTCACGACTGTGAGCATCTATTCGCATTAGTTTGTGTCCGGCTGATCGCTTTTATGCATTTGTAATCGCTTGTCATGAGAACTGTATTGTCATTCACTCTCAGATCTTGTTTTTAGTCATCACTGTAATACAGTATGCTATATGACATCATTTGGGCACATTAGCGCAGGGTGTGCTGGTACAGTATGCTGGATTAACTCCTTCTGTCTGTTCACAGATGTCAAACGCGCCCATGATGCTCTAGACTTGTTAAATGGCTACAAGCTGCTGGACAGGCCTCTGGTCATCGAGTTTGGCCGAGAGAGACGTACAGAGACTGATGGGTCGTCTGCGGATCCCAAAGCGAAAGATCAACAGTCCTGCTACGAGAACCCGTCTAAATGTGTTTAAGTGGCTTTTTCATTCTGTTTTTGTGAATAATAAATGATTGTATATGCTGTTTATCTGGAAATAAAGTCACATTGTGAATCTCTTAAATAAATCACAAAACTAGCAATTGTAATTCTTCTGTTGACCAGCAGAGTCCACTGTTTCTCCATCACTGAAGTCACCCTGAACAGGAAGTGAGAGTGACTCCAGATCTAGATCTGCTGTGTGTAGATGTTCTGCTTCTCTAATGTGTGTGTGTGTGTGTGTAAGGTTGTGCTCGCAGTCAATGAACCCTCCGCTAAAGAACCAATCAGTGCCATGTTTGCCATGCTATCTTTCCCAAAGTTACACATTAAAATGAAGTTCAAATCAATGCAGTCGAGTTTCAGTCGGAGTGCTTTTACTGTAAATCACTTGTTTCTATGATAACGTTACCTTAGCATGAACGCCTAACACACAGGCTTCAGTGTACTGTTCTGTTTTTCTTGTTTTCTTCATGTCTTTGCGGTGTTTCATTAGGAGATCAACACATAATCCACGGGGACTGCAATGATATTCAAATTACATGAAATTTACAAAAACAAAAAATAACTTTTCTTTTTAAAGCACTAAATATTTTTCTTTATTCTTATAGGATTTAATAGGATGACGGTCATTACCAGCAATTCATGTAAAATGTTGAAAACTGTCATCATTTGCTCTGTGTGTTTCTGTCTTCAGCTGAACACGAATGACGATATCCTGAAGAACGGCTGGAACTTCGGCACCATTGACTTCTACTGTACTTTGTTTTTGTTGTTCTACTGTAGAAGTCAATGGTGCCGAAGTTCCAGCCGTTCTTCAGGATATCGTCATTCGTGTTCAGCTGAAGACAGAAACACACAGAGCAAATGATGAGAGAGTTTTCATTTTTGGGTGGACTATCCCTTTAACACAAATGATCATGTTATATTTAAGACCATATTATTATCTACAATGGACATTTTTATTTTTAACAATTATTCATCACAATGCAAGCCCATTTAAACTGAACAACTAAAGGGAAAACGACCACTTACAGGAATCAAGATATATATTTCCTTCACACAAACGTTATTTTAACCCGAGTCTTGATGCTGAATTATAAATGATTTTGCATAACTTTGCATCAAGAATTTCTAATATTCCATCCCAGAGCGAGGGACCTCTGTCACAAAACGGAAAAGATATTTTCATTTATAAAAATATAAATGTGTGAAATATTATTTTGTTACATTATGGCATTACATTTCTACTCACTATAGTACTGTACTATAAAAGGTTAATTTCTGAATGATTAATTTTTTTATTGATTTATGATTTCACATTTTTACTCTAAAATTGAAAGCTAGTGTAGAGTTTGGAGCCAAAGGCTAATAAACATCCCACAGCTATTTACACAGTGAGTATGATCATATAGTGCTCAAAGTGAGTGCATTTAGATTAGTTAATGAAGACAAAGTGAACATACGGTCAAAATATTCAAATAAACTGTGGCAAAAAACACGAAGTGCACTTGACGAAACTGACTGATCTGGCCCTTCTTAAAAGCGGGCCGCTGAAAAACAGCGTGTGATCCTGTGGATCCCTATCGAAAATCATCTAGCTGTTAATTGGATATTCTTGAACCTCTAATGTCCAGTCGAGACGTGAAGCCAAACAGCAGCAGCTCACATCACACAATCCTAAGAGTCTTATCGTGGTCCCAGTATTAATCACTTCAGAGCTTTTAGGAGAACAAAACGACTGCACAGATTAGCGCTAATCCTCAAACGTAGCCGGTGACGTCATACGCGGCGGCCGCCGGTGTGTTGGAGTGGGTGCTGGTGCTGTTCAGGGTCTGGTTCTTGCTGGAGTGCAGCGTGACGGGATGGTACGGCGTGGCGAGGGGCTGCCCGCGCGGGGCGCTGCGGTCGGGGTACGGGTAACGGCGTCTGGTTCCCCTGCTACCGTCTGAATCATCGCAACAGGAAGCACTCAACAGCCCTCCACCGAGCATGGACAGCAGCGAAGACGCCAAACCCACGTACAGGCAGTCGCCGATGTCGAACTTGAGGCCGGCGGGCATGTTCTGCATGTAGAAGCTCTGCACCACCTCGTGGGTCTTCCAGGACACGGGGATCAGCGCCAGAAGCCCGGCCAGGAGGAACAGGGACCCGCCGGCGCCGGCCACCTTGCTCTTGACGGAGGAGCCGTCCATGCAGACGGTGCACTGCATGCCCACGGTGGACACGGCACAGGCCAGGACGGAGCAGATGGACGAGATGACCATCATGGCTCTGGCGCTCTGCAGGTCCGTGGTCAGACCCAGAAGGGTGTTGTAGGTCTCACACTGGAAGGCGCCGGTGCTCTGGTACACACACTCCATCCACAGACCCTTCATGCTGACCACCGCCGTCACGATGTTGGGGCCCACGTGTGCGGACGTCGCCCAGTACGGCAGGAGAGTGGCCACCAGCGTCCCCAGCATGCCGAACAGGCCGAAGAAGAAACCCATCAACTCCAGCGCCGCTACGGCCATGATGAAGGCGTTCTCCGACACTGATCACTGCACAGGAACACAGCGCACTTTAGCTCTTTCAACTCTCAAGCATTCGAACTGCAGTGTGTTACAACATTAGGGTTAGGGTTCACACTTTAGGTCTGATTGACCCTTCTCATATTTTGGGTGAGGATGATCAACTTATCCAACACAAGCAACGCAAACGCTAGAAATAACAACATGTTAAATCACTGCACTGCAGCCGTGATGTTATCCGTTTACATGTTGTATTTGGGGTTTATTGTATTGTGTTTTGTTCCTCGATGTGATGTGTACGGACGGGAGACGCTGTGGGATGGGAGAACGTTTTTGGAAGATAATTCCATATAATAAAGTCAAATCGAATTGAATGGAATTACAAATGTGTAATTTCAAGAATATTTCAAGTTTCGATGCTTGTCAGGATATTCAGAAGAACACTTTTCAATTTCAAAGACAGAATTAAATAATAAATCGCATATAAAGTTGTACATAAGCCCTACTGTAAAAAGCACTCTTACATTGCCAAAACATTACATTCGACACACACTTAGGGACTTTTTAAAAGTAATGTACTTACACGAGTTTACTTACACCACATGTGTTAGCGGCGGAGATGTTTCCAGTGGTTCTCGAGTCCCTCGTGTGTGTGTGTGTGTGTGTGTGTGTTCCCACAGTCCTTCTATTTGTGGTCTCCCATCTCTGTTGTTCTGCAGATACGAGACGCTGCCCCGGGTCGTGTACACACAGCACCTCTGGAAAACATCAGTTAATTATTTACTCGTTACTCACCCCAAAACTGACCTTTTCTGCTTTCATCCCAAAAACAAGGCCACTGTGGAAAAGGCCACTGCCAGCAGTGTGGATTTCACTCAAATGTTATCAGATGTTCTTGCATTTTATAATAAATAAATACACCCAAAGGATTATTGGGAACACCTGTTCAGTTTCTCATTAATGCAATTATCTAATCAACCAATCACATGGCAGTGTCTTCAGTGCATTTAGGGGTGTGGTCCTGGTCAAGACAATCTCCTGAACTCAGAATGAATGTCAGAATGGGAAAGAAAGGGGATTTAAAGGATTAGTTCACTTTTGAAAAAACTTTTGCTGATAATTTACTCACCCCCGTGTCATCCAAGATGTCCATGTCTTTCTTTCCTCAGTCGAAAAGAAATTAAGGTTTTTGATGAAAACATTCCAGGATTTTTCTCCTTATAATGGACTTCAATGGGAACCGGATGGTTCAAGTATCAAAAGACGGTTAATAACAGTTTCAGATGCAGCTTTAAATGTCTTTAAACGACTCCAGACGATGAATAAGGGTCTTATCATGCGAAACGATCGGTTATTTCAAAACTTATTCCAAAAATGTAACTTTTCTAAGGACAAATGCTAGGCTTGTAATATATTGTGAGGCGCGTTTGCAACGTCACGTAACACGTAATTACGTTCAGAAGGTCACGGGCGACAAAAAAAAAAAAAAAAGGTCACGGGCGACGTAGCCGGAAGTACAGAATCAAAGTCGTCCGACATCGTTGTTGTAAACGGCGTTTGAGTTTGCACATTCAACCTATGCGTTCAACTTGTAAACACTGTACTTCTGGCTACGTCGCCCGTGACCTTTTGAACGTAATTACGTATTACGTGACGTTGCAAACGCGCCTCACAGAATGGAGAAAGGCTAGCATTTGTCCTTAGAAAAGTTACATTTTTGCAATAAGCTTTGAAATAACCGATCGTTTCGCATGATAAGACCCTTATTCATCATCTGGTGTCGTTTAAAGACATTTAAAGCTGCATCTGAAACTGTTATAACTGTCGTTTGGACCTGGTTCCCATGGGAGTCCATTATAAGGAGAAAAATCCTGGAATGTTTTCATCAAAAACCTTAATTTCTTTTCGACTGAGGAAAGAAAGACATGGACATCTTGGATGACATGGGGGTGAGTAAATTATCAGCAAAAGTTTTTTCAAAAGTGAACTAATTCTTTAATAACAATTGAGATTTCAATGTGATTTTGACCACTGAACTAGCTAGCTAATCTTATTCGTCACAACAGCGCGATGCCTGTGTGGATCATTACGTTTATTTATACTACAGTTCAATAAACAATGTTTAATAAGTAACTTACAATATTGTTCGTTATGTCGTCTATTTTTCTCCGTCAAAGTAGATCCGATCGAGGAACACAACTGAGTCACGGCGAATCAGAGAACGAATCGGTTTAGAATGAATGAATGATTCAATCATCATTAAAAAGACTTGGCGCCACCTACTGGTGACCAATCAAACTGAGTGACTGGAACTAGCGTAGCTAACTGCATCAAACAAAATACTTGTTTTTAATTGAAAGAAAAAGACAGCACACTATTAAAGCTAAACAGAAAGTGTGATATATATTAAAACAAGTTAAAAACTCAATACTGCATTTTAATAAATTAGTGCAAAATATTCTCTTGTATAAGAATGAGCCAAACAACTACACACATATTATAGACCAAAATTTTGTCAACCAGCACTTGTGAACCAGTGAAAAACAAGTTTGATTCATTATGCTGTCTGTTTTGCTATTAAATAAAACAGTTGAACTTAATAGACAACCAACAATTTATATAATAAAATATACTTAAGCGTAGCCTACCTGTTTTATTTTGTCGTCAATACAACAAATCGTCTGTAACCATTGCAGAAATATAGGCTAATAACACAGAGCCGTCGGTGTGTGTGTGTGTGTGTGTGTGTGTGCACATACTGTACACAGTTTGAACCGGTTTCCACTAACCCTTGACTCAATCTCAGTTAAATCACCTCTCTGTAATGAGATTATACCAATAATCCACTGCGGAGGGTCAACTACAACCCAGAAATAACAATAGAGGCCTGTGGTGGGCATTTTTGACCATTTATGCCACTAAACTATTGTCTTCACATTATACCTTATTGGTCCTGCACTGAATAATCAAATAAAATATACAGTACAGTACTGTAGTGTCAGAGATGTCGACGTAACCCCTGAGATCTTCTCTGGTCTCTATGAGATGTGTGTCCAAAGTCCGGCCCGGCTAAAACACACTTCCTTACAACATTCAACACACAGCCAAATCTTCATACATTCACAAACCCGCTTTCCTTTCACAAACCCAACTCAGCCGAGGGTGCTCCGGTCTCCATTTACCCATCACTGGAAGCAGAATTTGCCAATAAATAATACTATTCTTACCATCAATGTATTTTAAGAAGGCCTCAATATTTAAAATGAACATGCATATCATGAATGAACAACTCTATTTATTGGCAAGCGATGTGCAGCATTTCCATTCTCCAGATGCGATTAGGAACAGATAGCATTCCTGAGAAATAAAAAAATATATAAAATAAAAAACAGAACAAAGTAGTTATATTTTAAACAACACTGCATAGTCTTCACTGTAAAAATGAAATATAGATGAATCCTGTTAATCTACTAAAGAGAGTGATCTTCTCTTTGTCTTTTCATGTTTGATTAATATTAATGACACCACAGGGATATGAGGCTGCTGTCACTTTAAGACCGGTTGCACAGTTCCAATGATATATTTGCGACTATTTCGAAATATGTTTTTGTTCACTTAACCCCTTATGCTCTCAAGCTTATTTTGCTTATTTTCAGCCTGAAATTGACAATTTTATTGAAAGAGTTGGAACAGGAAAGTCACGAACGTGCATCACAGTACAGAGGCGAGCATTTGAGCTTATAAAACTTAAACTTTGTTATTTATTTATTAAATGAGCGATCGTTTCGCTTGATAAGACCCTTATTCATCGTCTGGAGTCGTTTAAAGCCCTTTGAACAGTTTGCACTGAAACTGTCTTTTGGACCCCATTGAAGTCCATTATATGGAGAAAATCCTGGAATGTTTTCATCAAAAATCTTAATTTCTTTTCGACTGAAGAAAGAAAGACATGGACATCTTGGATGACACGGGGGCGAGTAAATTATCAGCAAAAGTTTCTTTAAAAGTGAACTACTCCTTTAATAAAGTTTTTGTCAATTTGCTGTAATTTAAAAGAGACGCATGTAAGATTTTTTTAATGTTACAATACATTCTCTTAACCAAGTTTATTGTTCATTGACTGCTTTTAGTATGGGCTTATCTCCCCAAAAGTGTTGAGCCTCCCAAGAGTGGTCCGCTAAGATCCGCCCATCTCTCTCCAGCTCGACCAATAGAGTTTGAGGCTTGGCTCCTGTAAAAGCCCAACTGCTCAGAGAAGGCGGTACCATCCTATGCCCCCTCTGTGATGCGCGAGCAGAGCCTTGGGCAAAGTCAGCGTCAGTTTTGCGCGGGCACGAGACTCATACATATTGACGCCCCGATATTTTGGATGAGGAGCGTTTTATGATCGCCCTGATAACTCTTACCGCACGGGCGGTGCTCGGGGAGAGGCGTGTGTCAGTTAGCGTGAGCGGGCACGCGCGTTACGTTCATAACTCGGCCGATAAGAGTGTTTAGAGGCCGTGAACAGAGCGGGAATAAACACATTTCTTACATCCAACACTCGAGCAGCTCCGGCTCTGTGAGTGACACGGAAGTGCTGTGTGGTGTGCAGGGGTGAACACTGTCGCTAGGACACATTGACAACAAATACACCAATGTTATCTGCAAAATGGTTTTATTCACTCAATATTATATTTAAAAAATTAGACATCTCTTCTGATTTGTAACATTTTTTTCTTTTTTTACTGTTAACTTCAGTTCATCAGTGTATCTTACAAAAATATTACAAATAAATCAATTATAAAAACAATCCTTTAGTGCATTCACACTGATTCAATACGAGCCCCTGTTGGAGAAACAACAAGGATTGAGATGAAATGAAGGTTTCCAGCAGCTCAGATCTCAAACATCCATGAACATGGCACTACTCGTATAAACTTCTTGTTTTTTATATGTACAATAAGCAAAATTATTGAAACAAAAATAAAAAGAAGTTGAGACCATGTTAGCGTCAGAATGCCAGTCGAGTCCAAAGGCAGACTGACCGGAAGTTGTCGCCGAGATTGGGTTCCATGAGAGGGGGCGGTGTTTGAGCTATACTGGGACCAGCCACCAGGGGGCGCTTCTCGAGCTTGTTTTCATTTCGATGGCGTTTCAGTGCTGCTCACGATCACCAACATTCATGATCACACGCATATAGTGACGATCAGCAGTGCTGGTGGCATTTACATATTTCATTGATGAACTCACTCACTGGTCGACTCAGATTGAGACAGACGGTCACAGTATTTCACTCTGAAGATTTGATCACACACACACACACACACACACTGTACACGCACCAATATTTCAAATCAATTCGAGGCTCATAAACACTTCCTATATTATTATTACTGTACACAAACACACTGTTTAAAGACATTTCAGTCTAATCATCTGTTTCCCATGAACAATAGCACACACACACACACACACACACACCGATCTAAAGAAGGTTCAGTTCATCCAGGGGGTTCAAGCTGGCATTCATGAAATAATGGACAGAAAACAACATACAAATACTGAATTTGAAATTAATTGGAAATAATTCTCTTACATTCTTAAATGAGGCAGAAAAAGAAATGGTTTTCAAATCACAATCACATTTGATCGTTATCATATCTGGACAATGATGTAATAAAACAAAAGGCCATCATCAGTTTTATGGTTCTTAAAAAGTTTGAAAACCCCTGATAGTGAAAGAACATCCCAGAATCCCACACTGAAGGCCAGACCCGGATCAGCTGTGAGAAGTTCTGACCCGGATCAGCTGTGAGATGCCCGGTCCTGGATGGCGTGGACCCTCTGAGCGAGAGTCCTGAATGTGGGTCGATCGCTCGGCTCTGTGGCCCAACACTCCTTCATCAGCGCCTGGATCTGCAGGAGAACCGCAGGGGAACATGATAATCTGGAGGTCTGAGTTTGAGAGCTGTGCTTCAGGGCTTGTAGCGCCGGGCGGTAAACGGCTGATTATTGAATGTTTAATGTGCTTTAGCAGCGCCACCGCTTCCCCTGTTCACTGCTGATGCTCACGTGTGTGTGTGTGTGTGTTACTGAGACTCTGATGCCACTAATACATCTACAAAAGGCATCGGTGAAGAGACGAAAACCACAAGTTTCCACACACACACACACACACACACACACACACACACACACACACTCAGGCCCGTAAGAGAACAGCCAGAAACATGGAGCAAAACTGGAAGAAAACTAAACTAAAAGCTTGAACTGGTAAACACCCAGTCATGCTTGAACAAATACACTGTGAAACTGGTATAATTATTTGAAATACGTGATGTTTGAGTACGAGTGTAAGGATCGTGTGTGTGAGCTTTACCTCAGCGGGACAGCCCTCGGGAGACGGCAGGCGGTAGTTCCTCTTCAACAGGTCGATCAGGTGGTAGACGATCATCTGACCCTGTTTGTCCTCGCCCATCTGCTCCATGAACACCTGAACCGCAACACACACACACACACACACACACAGGCTGAAACCTGTAATATTTTGATGTTTGAATTATTAATTTATGGCAGGTGTTGAGAGGATCACACACACACACACACACAGATCTGCATCGGCCACTTACGGCTGGAGGACTGCAGCTTTTGTCGCTGTATGTGAAGAGTTCATAGAGGACGACTCCGAAACTCCAGACGTCTGATGCCACGCTGAACTTGCTCTCGGTCAGAGACTCCGGGGCGTACCTTCATCACACACATCATCATCATCATCATCATCATCATCACACCCGTACGCCCGCCTGACGGGCACTCACCAGAAGATGGGGCTCTCTCCGGGCTCGCGCACGGTGTAATACTCCTTATCCTGAGGGAGGACTTTAGTCAGGCCGAAGTCTCCGATCTTCACGTGAAACTCGCTCTCCACCAGGATGTTCCTCGTGGCCAGATCTCGGTGGACGTAACGCTTCGACGCCAGGTAGTCCATCCCCTACACACACACACACGTCACGTTATTCTTAGTGTGTCAGTCAGTGTGTGTGTGTGTGTGTGTGTGTGAGGAACCTCACCTTGCAGATCTGCGCTGCGTACAGCAGGAGCTTCATATGGTCGAAACGCTCCTTGTTTTTGGAAAGATAATCTCTCAAACTCCCGAACGGCAGGAACTCCATGACCAGACGCAAGTTCTTACGACCTGCAGAGAGACGGGCTGATTTTAGGAAAAAATGATTGAACTGAATCATCTATACATTTACATTTCTTCATTTAGCTGACCCTTTTATCCAAAGCGTCTTACAATTGCTCTATATGTCAGAGGTCGCACGCCTCTGGAGAACGAGGGGTTAAGTGTCGTGCTCAGGGTCACGTTGGTGTCTCACAGTGGATTCGAACCCGGGTCTCTCACACCAAAGGCATGTGTCTTACCCACTGCGCCTCCACCACCCCCCCGATACAAACAACCTCAGAAATGATGAGTCTGTCATTCAGTAGTTTATAGTACTTGTTCACACCAACTCCAGCTTTTAAGAAAGTACAACATCGTGACCATCTATTCTCCACTCTAAGTGCAAGTTTGGCTTGTCCAACAATAAAATCAATGAACTGCCATTTCAATCCCAAAATAAACATTTATTAAACATCAATTTTTCCTGAAATCTTAAAAACACTCACTCCAGCATGTGCACGGAGACAGAAGAGAGAGACGTGTGTGTGTGTGTGTGTGTGCCGCCTCGGGACTCACCTGCGCTGTAACACACGCCCTTGTATCTGACGATGTTGTCGTGTTGCAGTGATCGCAGGATCTCGATCTCCCGCTCAAAGTCACGCAGGTGTTCAGCTGAGCTGTGCTGAAGCTTCTTCACCGCCACCACCTCACCTGTGAGGAAGAGGAGGAGTGAGGAAGAGGAGGAGTGAGGAAGAGGAGGAGTGAGGAAGAGGAAATGTGAGGAGGAGGAGGAGTGAGGAAGAGGAGGAGTGAGGAAGAGGAGATGTGAGGAGGAGGAGGAGTGAGGAAGAGGAGGAGTGAGGAAGAGGAGATGTGAGGAGGAGGAGGAGTGAGGAAGAGGAGGAGTGAGGAAGAGGAGTGAGGAAGAGGAAGAGGAGATGTGAGGAAGAGGAGATGTGAGGAAGAAGAGATGTGAGGAAGAAGAGATGTGAGGAAGAGGAGTGAGGAAGAGGAGGAGTGAGGAAGAGGAGTGAGGAAGAAGAGATGTGAGGAAGAGGAGTGAGGAAGAGGAGTGAGGAAGAGGAGGAGTGAGGAAGAAGAGATGTGAGGAAGAGGAGTGAGGAAGAGCTCTCACCTGTGCTGTCCTGCAGTGGGTCGTAGCGGCACTTCTCTACACTGCCGAAGTTACCCTGCACACACACACACACACACACACACACACACACACACACACACACACACACACACACACACACACACACACACACGGGAGTCAGAGCGCTGAAGCGGGACAGCTGAGGGGAGTAGGGTTGGGAAACGGACACTTGTTATAACATGAAAATGTGGATTCCTCCGTGTGTGTGTGTGTATGAGTGTACTGGACCCACAGCTCTTAAAGTGACAGCGCTAATATTCCTCCGTCTCTAATAGGGTTAGACTCAAACGATACCCAACCCTAGTCATGATGATGATGATGATGATGATGATGTCACCTTGCCCAGCAGCTGGAGGAAGATCAGGTGTCTGGCCTCAAACTGAGTGGGTTCCTGATTCTCAAAGGCTCCGGCGAAACCCAACGGCCGAGTCCTGCTGGGCAGCGTCTCGCTCTCCACCAGCAGCTCGTAGTCTGAGGAGCACAGGGACGCAGGAGTGAGCGTTACGCTAGCTAATGTCTGGTGCGCGCGTGTGTGATTAGCTCACCTGGCGTGAAGAGGCTGTTGAGGTCTCGGATCACGGCTCTGAACGACGGCCGGTGCAGCGGCTCGTAGTCCATGCAGCTGTTGATCACGCTAGCCAGTTCGGTCCACTTCGGCGCCGGGAGCTGGTGCTTATCCTCGTAGAACAGCAGCTTCTGTGGGACAGACAGAGACCGTTAGCTGCAGCCAATCACGCGCGCAGCACAGAGACCGTTAGCTGCAGCCAATCACGCGCACAGGACAGAGACCGTTAGCTGCAGCCAATCACACGCGCAGCACAGAGACCGTTAGCTGATTAATTAATAAAGTGAAAGTTGATCATTTGGACGTGTTTTGTCTTGCCAAATTATACATTCAAACAATTTTAAACATGGAAGAAGAGGCGAAAATCAGGAGTCCCGCGGTATCTGTGTGCGCAGCCACACACACCCGAAGCGCAGAGAGAGAGAGATAGAGTTTTTCTTCATTCTACAAGAAAATTTCAAAGGCACTTAGAAGCTTTTGCATCTGAACTCTTCATACACACACACTCACCTAAATGATTATTAGGAACACACACTAATACTGTGTTTGACCCCCTTTCACCTTAACTCTACGTGGCGTTGATTCATCAAGGTGCTGAAAGCATTCTTTAGAAATGTCGGCCCATATTGATCGGATCGCATCTTACAGTTGATGGAGATTTGTGGGATGAAGCTCCCGTTCCACCACATCCCAAAGATGCTCTATTGGGTTGAGATCTGGTGACTGTGGCGGCCATTTTACTACAGTCAACTCATTGACATGTTCAAGAAACCAATTTGAGATGATTCCAGCTTTGTGATGGTGCATTATCCTGCTGGAAGTAGCCATCAGAGGATGGGGACATGGTGGCCATAAAGGGATGGACATGGTCAGAAACAATGCTCAGGTAGGCCGTGGCGTTTAAACGATGCCCAATTGGCACTAAGGGGCCTAAAGTGTGCCAAGAAAACATCCATTACACCACCAGCCCAACAGTGGGAACAAGACATGATGATCCATGTTCTCATTCTGTTTACGCCAAATTCTGACTCTACCATCTGAATGTTCAACAGAAATCGAGACTCATCAGACCAGGCAACATTTCTCCAGTCTTCAACTGTCCAGTTTTGGACAGTTCAACTGTCCTCCGCCTCTTTCTCCTATGTGTAGTGGAGATGAGTGGTACCCGGTGGGGTCTTCTGCTGTTCAAGGTTGTGTGTGTTGTGTCTTTGCTGCATACCTCGGTTGTAACGAGTGGTTATTTCAGTCAAAGTTGCTCTTCTATCAGCTTGAATCAGTCGGCCCATTCACCTCTGACCTCTCGCATCATCAAGGCATTTTGGCCCACAGGACTGACCCATACTGGATGTTTTTCCCTTTTCACTCCATTCTTTGTAAACCCTAGAAATGGTTGTGTGTGAAAATCCCAGTAACTGAGCAGATTGTGAAATACTCAGACACCAACAGCCATGCCACGCTCAAAACTGCTTAAATCCCCTTTCTTTCCCATTCTGACATTCAGTTTGGAGTTCAGGAGATTGTCTTGACCAGGACCACACCCCTAAATGCACTGAAGACACTGTCGTGTGATTGGCTGATTAGATGTTGCACAGAGTTTGCCTCACCTTGCAGCAGTCGAGGGCCGCGAGCGGATGTTCTCCTCCACAGTAAATCTCCCACAGCGTCGTGCCGAAACTCCACTTATCCGCCGCGAGACTCAGACTCCTGCTGTCCTGCACACACTCCGGGGGAACCCATGGGATGCGCTCCAGCAGAACTACACACACACACACACACACACACAGGGACAGTTAGAGGAACCCACGGGATGCGCTCCAGCAGAACCACACACACACACACACACACACACACACACACACACACACACACACTCACACTCTCTGGGCTGGACCGTGATGCTGATTCCCGGGTCGCTGAGTTTGATGAACGGCGGCGTTCCCGTTTTCCGGTCCTCCTCACGGGTCACCAGAACATTCCTGGCACACACGTTCCCATGGATCAGGTTCTTCTCCTCCTGCGGATCAGATCAGGGTTAGGTGAGAGTGTGTGAGTGAGTGTGTGTGAGTGTGTGTGAGTGAGTGTGTGTGTGTGTGTGAGAGTCACCAGGTGGTGTAGAGCCCAGGCCAGCTGCTTCACTGCCTCCAGTTTCCAGGTGATGTTGATGCTGCTGCGGTTCCGCTTCAGGTACGTGTCCAGAGAGCCGAAGCGCACGTACTCCTGCACCATGATGTCTGCAACACACACACACTCACTCACAGACCTCATAAAACACACGTGTGTGTGTGTGTGTGTGTGTGCGAGATACTCACGTTCTTCTGCGCACACACACACGCCGTAGTTCAGCAGCAGGTGCTTGTGGGATAGCTGACTCATCATACTGGCCGACTCGAAGAACGACTGTCACAGAGAGAGGAACGTCACGTCTCGTACACATCACACTCGTCACGACACACACTCGTCACGACACACACTCGTCACGACACACACTCGTCACGACACACACTCGTCACGACACACACTCGTCACGACACACACTCGGCACGACACACACTCGTCACGACACACACTCGGCACGACACACACTCGTCACGACACACACTCGGCACGACACACACTCGTCACGACACACACTCGGCACGACACACACTCGTCACGACACACACTCGTCACGACACACACTCGTCACGACACACACTCGTCACGACACACACTCGGCACGACACACACTCGTCACGACACACACTCGTCACGGCACACACTCGTCACGACACACACTCGTCACGGCACACACTCGTCACGGCACACACTCGTCACGACACACACTCGTCACGGCACACACTCGTCACGGCACACACTCGTCACGACACACACTCGTCACGACACACACTCGTCACGACACACACTCGTCACGACACACACTCGTCACGACACACACTCGTCACGACACACACTCGGCACGACACACACTCGTCACGACACACACTCGTCACGGCACACACTCGTCACGACACACACTCGTCACGACACACACTCGTCACGACACACACTCGGCACGACACACACTCGTCACGACACACACTCGTCACGACACACACTCGTCACGACACACACTCGGCACGACACACACTCGTCACGACACACACTCGTCACGACACACACTCGTCACGACACACACTCGTCACGACACACACTCGTCACGACACACACTCGTCACGGCACACACTCGTCACGGCACACACTCGTCACGGCACACACTCGTCACGACACACACTCGTCACGACACACACTCGTCACGACACACACTCGTCACGACACACACTCGTCACGACACACACTCGTCACGACACACACTCGTCACGACACACACTCGTCACGGCACACACTCGTCACGGCACACACTCGTCACGGCACACACTCGTCACGGCACACACTCGGCACGACACACACTCGTCACGACACACACTCGGCACGACACACACTCGGCACGACACACACTCGGCACGACACACACTCGTCACGACACACACTCGGCACGACACACACTCGGCACGACACACACTCGGCACGACACACACTCGGCACGACACACACTCGGCACGACACACACTCGTCACGACACACACTCGTCACGACACACACTCGTCACGACACACACTCGTCACGACACACACTCGTCACGACACACACTCGTCACGACACACACTCGTCACGACACACACTCGGCACGACACACACTCGGCACGACACACACTCGGCACGACACACACTCGGCACGACACACACTCGTCACGACACACACTCGTCACGACACACACTCGTCACGACACACACTCGTCACGACACACACTCGTCACGACACACACTCGTCACGACACACACTCGTCACGACACACACTCGGCACGACACACACTCGTCACGACACACACTCGTCACGACACACACTCGTCACGACACACACTCGTCACGACACACACTCGTCACGACACACACTCGGCACGACACACACTCGGCACGACACACACTCGTCACGACACACACTCGTCACGACACACACTCGTCACGACACACACTCGTCACGACACACACTCGTCACGACACACACTCGTCACGACACACACTCGTCACGACACACACTCGTCACGACACACACTCGTCACGACACACACTCGTCACGACACACACTCGTCACGACACACACTCGTCACGACACACACTCGGCACGACACACACTCGGCACGACACACACTCGGCACGACACACACTCGGCACGACACACACTCGGCACGACACACACTCGGCACGACACACACTCGTCACGACACACACTCGGCACGACACACACTCGGCACGACACACACTCGTCACGACACACACTCGTCACGACACACACTCGTCACGACACACACTCGTCACGACACACACTCGTCACGACACACACTCGCACGACACACACTCGTCACGACACACACTCGTCACGACACACACTCGGCACGACACACACTCGGCACGACACACACTCGGCACGACACACACTCGGCACGACACACACTCGGCACGACACACACTCGGCACGACACACACTCGTCACGACACACACTCGTCACGACACACACTCGTCACGACACACACTCGTCACGACACACACTCGTCACGACACACACTCGTCACGACACACACTCGTCACGACACACACTCGTCACGACACACACTCGTCACGACACACACTCGTCACGACACACACTCGTCACGACACACACTCGTCACGACACACACTCGTCACGACACACACTCGGCACGACACACACTCGTCACGACACACACTCGTCACGACACACACTCGTCACGACACACACTCGTCACGACACACACTCGTCACGACACACACTCGGCACGACACACACTCGTCACGACACACACTCGTCACGACACACACTCGGCACGACACACACTCGTCACGACACACACTCGTCACGACACACACTCGTCACGACACACACTCGTCACGACACACACTCGTCACGACACACACTCGGCACGACACACACTCGGCACGACACACACTCGGCACGACACACACTCGTCACGACACACACTCGTCACGACACACACTCGTCACGACACACACTCGTCACGACACACACTCGTCACGACACACACTCGTCACGACACACACTCGGCACGACACACTCGTCACGACACACACTCGTCACGACACACACTCGTCACGACACACACTCGTCACGACACACACTCGTCACGACACACACTCGTCACGACACACACTCGTCACGACACACACTCGGCACGACACACACTCGTCACGACACACACTCGTCACGACACACACTCGTCACGGCACACACTCGTCACGGCACACACTCGTCACGACACACACTCGTCACGACACACACTCGGCACGACACACACTCGTCACGACACACACTCGTCACGGCACACACTCGTCACGGCACACACTCGTCACGGCACACACTCGTCACGACACACACTCGTCACGACACACACTCGTCACGACACACACTCGGCACGACACACACTCGCACGACACACACTCGTCACGACACACACTCGGCACGACACACACTCGTCACGACACACACTCGTCACGGCACACACTCGTCACGACACACACTCGTCACGACACACACTCGGCACGACACACACTCGTCACGACACACACTCGTCACGACACACACTCGGCACGACACACACTCGGCACGACACACACTCGTCACGACACACACTCGTCACGACACACACTCGTCACGACACACACTCGGCACGACACACACTCGTCACGACACACACTCGGCACGACACACACTCGTCACGACACACACTCGGCACGACACACACTCGTCACGACACACACTCGTCACGACACACACTCGTCACGACACACACTCGTCACGACACACACTCGTCACGACACACACTCGGCACGACACACACTCGTCACGACACACACTCGTCACGGCACACACTCGTCACGGCACACACTCGTCACGGCACACACTCGTCACGACACACACTCGTCACGACACACACTCGTCACGACACACACTCGGCACGACACACACTCGGCACGACACACACTCGTCACGACACACACTCGGCACGACACACACTCGTCACGACACACACTCGTCACGGCACACACTCGTCACGACACACACTCGTCACGACACACACTCGTCACGACACACACTCGTCACGACACACACTCGGCACGACACACACTCGTCACGGCACACACTCGTCACGACACACACTCGTCACGACACACACTCGTCACGACACACACTCGTCACGACACACACTCGGCACGACACACACTCGTCACGACACACACTCGTCACGACACACACTCGTCACGACACACACTCGTCACGACACACACTCGGCACGACACACACTCGTCACGGCACACACTCGTCACGGCACACACTCGGCACGACACACACTCGTCACGACACACACTCGTCACGACACACACTCGGCACGACACACACTCGTCACGACACACACTCGGCACGACACACACTCGTCACGACACACACTCGTCACGACACACACTCGTCACGACACACACTCGTCACGACACACACTCGTCACGACACACACTCGGCACGACACACACTCGTCACGACACACACTCGTCACGACACACACTCGTCACGACACACACTCGTCACGACACACACTCGGCACGACACACACTCGTCACGCACACACTCGTCACGACACACACTCGTCACGGCACACACTCGTCACGACACACACTCGTCACGACACACACTCGTCACGACACACACTCGGCACGACACACACTCGTCACGACACACACTCGTCACGACACACACTCGTCACGACACACACTCGTCACGACACACACTCGTCACGACACACACTCGTCACGCACACACTCGTCACGGCACACACTCGGCACGACACACACTCGTCACGACACACACTCGGCACGACACACACTCGCACGACACACACTCGGCACGACACACACTCGTCACGACACACACTCGGCACGACACACACTCGGCACGACACACACTCGGCACGACACACACTCGGCACGACACACACTCGGCACGACACACACTCGGCACGACACACACTCGGCACGACACACACTCGTCACGACACACACTCGTCACGACACACACTCGGCACGACACACACTCGGCACGACACACACTCGTCACGACACACACTCGGCACGACACACACTCGTCACGACACACACTCGGCACGACACACACTCGGCACGACACACACTCGTCACGACACACACTCGTCACGACACACACTCGTCACGACACACACTCGGCACGACACACACTCGGCACGACACACACTCGTC